TATTATGAAGTTTAAAGAAATGAAAAATTGATGATCAAAAGTTGTTTAATTAGACAGCTCTTACATGAATGCAATTCTACTAGATATTACAGCAAGAAGTAGTGGCCAATCTAAGTCGAGGTCACAACATTCTCTTCACATTTTCTTTAGATTTACTATTTGTCTTTTTATTAATGCTGAATAATAATAGAAAAGAAATTTTAAACTCTTTTTTTCACTATTTCTGCTTTAATAGTGCAGGAATAGTGTGAAATATTGATTATGTTTCTCACATATGTGGTCTAAAATAAAGATTCTTAATATTGATTATCTTTTTTGTGAGATGATACTTTCTGATACTTTATTTTTATATAAAACGACTCTTATCTCTGATACAACAAAATTATTATATTTGTTAATACTATATTGTTATATTTGAAAATACTATAAATAATTATATTAAAGGTGTGTATTTTTTTAAACTTTCCGATTATGTTATTTAATTAACTTCTAATCACAAATCATAAAAAATTATATCATCTTTCTTATTATTTCTTTGCAGTTATAATACTAATTATCAACACACTTTAAGTAAAAAAATAACTTTCAAAATTTTATTAATATTTTGAGAATCTAATTATTATTATTGATAAAGAATTTTCATATATAAATGTAATACTACACCACATGCCATTTCGAGATAGAAATTTATATATCTGAGAGCTCTAGAGACACTGTAAATATCATTTCTAAGCATTGCGAAATTCTCGTATGGTTCACTGAGCGTATCCTTGAAGAAATATACTGTCGTTTGACAATATATTACATACTGCATATTTTACTATTTTTATATGTATACATCGATCTTTAATTTAATTATATTTAATTATATTTATTTATCTATTATATATTTTGCATTTCTTGCAGTTTTCTAAAGTCTGTGTAATATGTATATAAATTAAATATTCATTATTTCAGAGTTTCTTACAGTGTTGTGAAAAGATATAATATGTATTATTTTTAGTATTATACTTTAAGTACAAATTAGTATGAAAAGTTTATTTTTTTTAGCAATAAATAATTATAAGTAAAATTAAAACTAAGAATAAATAAAATAAGAAAAGTATTCCATTTCTTTTAAAAGTAACTCGTTAGCATTATGGTTACTTAAAAAGAAATGATTCATTACTTTTTTATTATTTCTCTTATTTTTATTATTTTATTATTTCTGTAATTTTATTATTATACTAAGATGAAATTAAACAAAAACTTACTTTTTTTTTAGCATTGTTTATTAAAACATTAATAAACAATGCTAAAAAAGTAATTTTTC